TTTCTGCTAGTTAAATTAGTACAGATACCTCCGTACCGTCAATTCGTTTCAAGTTTTCTTGTCTCTTTTGATCTTTTCGTTGCTTCCCATTTAAAGAACCAAGGACTTGAATTCAATTAAAGTTGACGCGTTTGGAAGCAAATAGAAAACACAAAGAGAATGCGAAAAAAATTGCTTTCAAGACTTGACGTGTCTGAAAGGGGACTAAAGAACCAAGGACTTGAATTCAATTAAAGTTGACGCGTGTGGAAGCAAATAGAAAACACAAAAGAGAATGCGAAAAAAATTGCTTTCAAGACTTGACGTGTCTGAAAGAGGACTTATATCACATGGCTTAAAGCGCAGTTAGTCCCCTTTCAGACACGTCAAGTCTTGAAAGAAATGTTTATCGCATTCTCTTTTATGTTTTCTCTTTGCTTCCACACGAGTCAAGTTTTATTGAATTCAAGTCCTTGGATTTTTAAATGGGAAGCAACGAAAAGATCAAAAGAGAACAAGAAAACTTGAAACGAATTGACGGTACGGAGGTATCTGTACTCTACCCCTCTCTTCTCACCTCCTTCACCAACGAACGAGCAGACTTGAAAGCAAGACTTGACGTGTCTGAAAGGGGACTTAGTCAACGACGTAGCGTAAACCTAGTTCGACGTACGTTTGCGTAAATGCCAACCAGCTGTTTTTGATCAGCTGTTTTCCTGTTGGCAAATTACTGTTGGCAAAAATTTTTCCAGCAGAAACCAACAGCTTCCCCTCAAAATGAAATGTCACTTTGCTCTCTCAATTTCCCCTACTTTGCAAGTTTTTTGCGTACGCGAACGAAAAACTTGTAAGTTTTGTTTAAACATGAACAATTAACAGCTCAGCGAACGAACCTAATAATAGGTGCGTTCGACAAGTCAAAAATTTGTAATAGTTTTTTCCAAATTTTTACTGGATGGCGTTCGATAACGACAAAAAATTATCCAACACACAAAAATTGAGAGAGCAAGCGTTCATTTTGATGCAAGAGAAGCGTTCATTTTGTACTGGCAAAATTTTAGTCAGCAAAAATTATCCAACACGAAAACATATGATTGCAATTTCTGTAAACAAACAAAATTGCATTTTTCGAGTTTTGGTGTTTATATGCTTTTTGGCTGCCTGCTATGTGGCTTTATGATAGCGCGAACTAGTTTTTACTTCTAGAAATGTTCCTGGCGAACATTGAACGTTCACTTTCCTTTTTTCCTATGGAGGCAACATGAATTTCAGTTTGTTTACAAATAACAAATAAAAAAAGTCAGCTGGTGTATCTTCTTCCTCCGGTTTTTGCAAGTGAAGGCTAATTTCCTGTCCGTTTACTTTTTTGCTTTTTCTTCTCTTTGGAAGAGAATTTTCGCTTACTCTCTTGATTTAGATTGTTGGCTGGTGTTGGCTAATTTTGTTATCGAACGCAACTAATGTGAAATTAAGACGAGTTTTTGTTTTGATTGTACTTTCCCTATTTTTATCTATTTTATCAACAATTTGTATCGCTTGATTCGCTAACGATTGTATTTATTTTAAGTGCCTCAGAAGAAAACCAAAGTTAAGATGTTTACTAAACGGTAATCACAATAAGCAATACATTTTCTATCAAACTGATTTATACATACATATGTGTATAATATGCTCTTGCTTATGCAGAATGCCTAGTAGCAAGGAACGAAGACTGCGTCTACTGGAAGAAGACAATCATCTGGCAGACTGTGAATTTCTAGTCGGTGATCAAGCTTCCGAAGAACCACATCTCTTTCGCTGTCATAAGATGATTTTGGCGACTGCATCTGAAGTCTTTGAACGGATGTTCTATAGCGATTTTGTTGTTGTTGGGCCGGTGAGGGTTACCGAAGTAAGCCCAGCCAGTTTTAAACGTTTTCTGCGCTACGTTTACGTATATGAAATTGAAGTGGATCCTTTATTGTCACTTAATGAGCTGGGTGAATTATTTTATTTAGCGGATAAATACATGATGCAGGATTTAACCGATGCTTTGGTGGAGCATTTAAAACGAAAGCATAATTGGACATCGGGCGACGTGTGGCCCATGTATGATTTGGCGTGTCTTCATGAAAACCTGCCTTTACTATTGCTTTGTTACGCGGTAAATATTCAGGTTTTTGTTTGGAAGTGTATTTACACGCGCCACGGTAACAAATTACTGTAGATCCACAAAAAAAAAATTAACGCAGATCCACGGTAAAAAATTACCGTATATCCAGGGTAAAAATTACCGTAGACCACGGTAAAAAATTATCGTAGACCACGGTAAAAAATACCGTAAATCTACGGAAAAAAAAACTTCCGGTAGATCCATGGTAATTTGTAAGTGTATTTGCCGTAAATCCACGGTAAAAATTACCGCGTTTAACCAGCTTTTAATGTAGATGTGCTGTAAAAGTTAGTATCATTTTTTAAACGACCTCGAAGAAAAAAGGGCGAGGTTATGCGACATGTACATATACATACATACATATAGTAGCGTTCAAAATAATAGCAGCAAAATTTAAAATGGTAGTTAATAATTTTCATTTAAAATAATGTTCATAATGTACATAAATGACTTACCAGGAGTATTGCAACATTGTAAAGTACATATGTTTGGAGATGACACACTGATTTATATAAGTGGAAAAGCAAAGTAGCAAAATTAATGAAGAATTAACTACCGTCTGCGAATGGTTATGTAAGAATCAATTATGTGTTAATGTACAGAAAACAAAATGTATGGTATTAGGTAAGACTAGATTTAGGGAAGAAGCCGAAGTGAGAACAAGGGTTCTACTTACGGGCTCAACGCTAGAATGGATTCAAAGGTATAAGTATCTAGGGGTAATTATAGATAACAATTTGACATTTAAAAAACATTGAATATATAAACGGTAAAATAGCAAAGAAAGTAAATTTATTGCATAGATTAAGGAAAACTATTTCCAAAGTAGGAAAAATCAAATATAAGATATTGTTCGACAATACTCTCGATGGCGAATACCAAAGAAATATCAAAGTTGTTAACAATATGTTAAAAGAATTAGGATATTTATCGGTAGCAAATGAAGTAAAAAGAGATGTGTTGACTTTTATTTATAGAATAGAAAATGGATTGCTTCCGGAATATTTAGAGTCTTTAGTAAGACGAAACTCAGATGTTCACCAGTACTTAACTAGACAGGCAAATCAATTTCACTTGGAACCTGTACGTTTAAGTTAGGGCTTGAAATCAGTATTTAGTAACGGACTAGCAATGTATAATGCTGTCCCGGAGGAAATTAAACATGTAAGAACCATCGGAATTATATTATATTACAGGATATTATATGTACATGTGGGATAGCACTCGAAAATTGTTGCTAGCATGGATCGGAAACTAGGCCTTTTCGACCATGTCCAGCAGCCGTCCACAGCGCAGAGCGGAAACGAGGTCTTTCCGCCTGCCTAACATCGACGAAGAAGTGGCAATGAAAGTAACGAATGAAGAAAACGCAAATCGCTCGAACACGGTCATTCAGACGGTTTGCCCTGCACGAAATAGAGCGGGAGCGGTAGCATATGAGTGACTTCGAGAACATGGATCGGAAACTCGGCCTTTCCGACCATGATCGAAAGCTCGTTAGCAGAGGAACTAGGCCTTTTCGCCTGATGCACATTAAGGTAGACTGGAGACTAGGCCTCGCCAGCTACGCAACTAATGTATTTGGTAGTTCTAGAAATATTGCAGCATATAAATATATGTATGTATGTATGTATGTATACTTCGTAAGTGATATAAATATGCATGTACCTCGTGAATTCGCAAGACTGAAACAAAAATCAATAGGATAATTTAGTTTATAATTAAAATTTATAATGTCATAGACAACTGGCTTTTAATTTTAAATTTTTATTTGTATATAGGAATAATTGTATTAGCCGTAGGCTATTTTTTTTAATAAATAAATAAATAAATAAATAAATATGGGCCGATCTATATCAGATACCACATAAATAAAAGTTTCTAAGCTTATACGAATTTCAAAAAAATTAATCAAACTTAAAAAATTTGTCATCAAAATTTCAAACTTTTTAATCAGATTCTTTGGAAATGCAGTTTTTTAACCCATTCAATTTTTGATGTAATAAAGTGCAAGTTTCAAGTCGCTACAAATTACCGTTGATTTTTTTCGAATTTTTTTTCTATGGAGGGTGTTGCGCATTTTCTTCCATATAAAAGTAGGTTTTGTTCATGCGTTATATGGAAGAAAATTCGGATCTACGGTAAAAATTACCATGGCGCGTGCGTATAAACACTACCTTTTAGTTTACTAACATTCAAATAGTATATCGATGTGTAATAATACTTCTAACACACAGGAGATTTCTAAATTTGCCGAAAATCTTCTCTTTGGTGACTCGTTCTATCGATTAAATGTTAATCATCTGAAACGACTAGTAATATTATTATCCCAGCAATCTCACATATCTACAAAATTAATTTTACAACAATTGGAGGAATATGGTCGGCGTAATAATTTGCATAAAAATCGTGAGTCTGAGGAATTCTTTAAACTGGTAGATGCGGCCTGTCAACTAGATTTCAACAAATTATCAAGAGCGGATTTCGAAGCGGGTCCTGCCGTGTCATATTTGTTTAATAAGAAAGAAGCAAAATAGATACTGCATATTCTACAAAATATATTTTCGAATGTTTTGCGCTATATTGTTATAGTTTAATAAGTACATATATGTAGGTTTGCATAGTATGCATGTATACACTCACATAGATACTTATACATAATTATAATTGTTTATGGAGGCAACAGTGATGTTTTAAATATAATTCCTATACACACACACCACAAATTTGTATTGCTTTTCTTGTACGAGTTAAAAAAGGAAGCAACTGCCTAGTGCACAGATAACAGTAAAAACATTTTCACAGCTATAAAGTAATATTTATCTTTTATTTATTCTCATGATATTTCATTTGTTTTACAATAGAAAATCTACACAAGGTAAATTTTAATGTACAGATGAGTGGTGCGCATCTTGTAAACGCAAACCCGGCTCAAGTAGCATGCCGATACAGTTACAGATCAATTTTACATTGATTGCAATGATGCGAACGTAATCTTAACATTAAGAAATCATTACGTAGAATATTTTTATGAATAGGCAACATCTTGAAGTGCGCGCGAGAAAAAATGCGTTTTCCATTACATGTGCAATCATTCGCACTAGTTCATTAATATGGCAAAATTATTAAAAAGTAACTTACTTTAACTAATAAAGACAAGTTTTGCAACTCTTAAAATACATACACATACATACGCAAAAGCGTATTCTGATTTTTTTAGCAGTTTTTGCTTTGCAAGTGCCACAAATGTGTAAAGTAGAATTATTGAGTAATTTTCTTACTGTACTATGTTTAATGCAATAAGATCTAGATACATACATACATGTTATGTATTTTTCTTCGATATTTGCGAAATTGGCATTTCAATATATGTTTATAAATTGAGTTCCTTTGTGTTTATTTACGGTTTGGGGCATTGCCCATCTTTACATCGAACTTAAGAACGGCCAGTGTTCGCAGTTGAAGAATGCAGGAATACAACTTGACCGCAGGACCTAACTTAAGTCGAAGAATTTCGGTAAGGTCTGATTGCTGTAGCGAAAGCAGAGCGCTGCCATCGATATCTTCACATAAAAATGACTCTGTTGCCTCAGAGTTTCTCAAAACACATTGCACAAATGCACACGAGTCTTTTGTGGTCCAGAGTAGAGGATTTCGCTTGATGCGTTGCATGTCGAAGGCGACATTACGTTGCCAAATATTATAGTTTTGCTGCAGGCGTGGGCCATAATCGCAAAGAAATTCTTTTGCAATTTTTATTTGCGGTAGCAACAACGACGTAGACTCTTCAGCAGCACTTGTAGTGTCGACCGGATGGTGGGCTCTTAGTGCAGAAGCACTAGGCTTATCAGTGTGTTCTGTTTTAATCAATGATTGCTGCTGTGTTGTCGCTGTCGCAATGCTAATCCTGTGGGCGCGTAGTTCGACCGTTTGTTTCTGCTGCTGTTTTTCCTGTAAATTGATGTGCCGTGTCTTTATATTGTCCAACAACTGTATGCGCTGCAAAATATGCGTTTCGCTCAGCTGTTGTTTTGGTTGTTGTTGTTTTGGTGTTTGTGGTTTCTTCCATTTCAGTTGAGGTGGTAGTTGTTGCTCTTGCATTTCACGTTTAGCGCGAGATAGTGGACGTATAATCTCCTCATGCTCCAAGCGCGGTGGTTTTTCAACTTTCTGACGCCAATTTTCGGGGGCATATGGACAACAATCTTGCGTTGTATGGGTATTTAGGTAAAGACGTTTAGCGTTGCCGATGCCGCGGCAACCGAAAGTTGAGCATACAATCTTGCTTGAGCGCATTTTGTAGCCCGGTGGTGGTTCTAATTCATGGCCAGTAGCTTCACACCAACCGATCGGATGCAAGTCGGCGCTATCATCTTCCAACCAGAAGCAGTAATTACTAGCCCAGCAATCGAGGTGTAACTTAACACGATGACCTTTGCGACCGACAACTGTAGCGGGACGTATTAGTGAAGCGTTTCGTGGATCGACCACCTCCAACTTCATATTTGGCTTGAAATCGATTGGATCGCGAGTAGAAAACATCTCTTCTGTTGCGGCCATGCCACTGCCATGGTTTTTTATGTAATCAGTCCATGTGAAGGTGGTGTTTTCGAATTCAGGTGGAACAATTAGTTGCTGCCGACCCACATGCCAACCACAAGGATGGATATAGGGTGAGCTGATATCTACCCAGTAATCATAACAGTCATCCCAACCATCGAAATGTACACGTATGCGATTGTCTAATACGTCCGAGACCGAGGCAACGCAAAGCTTGCCCGTGTCGTTAAGATCTTCAGCCTCCAAGTGCATGCCAATCTAAGAAAGTTGCAGACAAAAATTATGTTATAAATAAAATAAATTGTTAAAACAAAAACTTTCATTACGATACTGCTCAACTGTGATAGACAGCACGATAACTCAATAAAATTAATTGTTCTTAAAGATGTTAAAAAAAATATTAATATTAACAAATTAAAACAATTATATATCTACATACATATAAGATTAATAAATTATTACAATAAATTAACTTCTCTTACCTTGAAAGGATTATGTGTGCCGAATGAAGCATTTAAATGTGTAAATAGAATACGCTGCGCTGCGATAGCTTTACATTCTTGTAAATATGCTGGCCAGAAGAATTCTTCTATCGTCTTTCCCTTTGGTGGTTGCAGCACACGTTTGGTTTTTGTGCACCAACCAGGTGGAAAAATGTCCATCGAATCAGCATTTACCCAAAAGTCGTACATATACTCACATCCGTCAAATGTTAGCTTCAAACGATAGCCCTGTATGTCCACAATTGTGCAAACACAAAAGAGTGAACAGTTCTCGGGGTCAATAGCTTCTAGCTTCATGCCAATCTGAAAGCGGTTCGGGCCAGTTGGAAATGGATTGATAAAGAGATTTACAGGTGCGGCAATAGCATTAAATTTTTCTGGCAAATATGTCGACCAACGGAAGGATTTTGTGCTTATAGGTTGAGCAGATATCTCTCGGTTTTTGCGCTTGCGCGTAATGGTTGAAAATTCTTCATGCCGACGTTTACGTGATTCTCGTTTTAAACAATCCAATGAACAAAATTCTAGCAACAAGCATGAAAAGTATGTTATGTAATTATTTTTGGGACCCTAATTTGATTTACTATATTTACCCGGTGCTAAAAAGTCTAGTGCAGGCCCATGACAATTACAACGTCTACACAAGTACAATAGTCCATCGTTTTTTTCACTCAAATACGGTGCCGACTCCCGCTCATAAATGGGCTTCTCGTAAGCAGCGTGAATGCGTGTGCGCGGTGAGCAGCGTTCATTGATCTCGATAAGATTAAATTCATTTAACTGGAAGCGCATATTAGTACCATGTGCACCACCGATACGCTGATTCCATGTCAGCATATTGAAGCTGGCCAACATCTTTAATGCAGACGATAAGGAGTCTTCCGAAGAAGTTGTAGGGACCATTGCAGTGGAAGCAATGCCGGCAGCCGCTGATGTGCTCGGTTGATTTGATCTAAGCGCAGTACTCTTAGCGGTTATTGCATTTGACGAGGTTGGTATATCATCATGTAAGCTTTGCCGACTGGAAGAAGTGGATGCGGAGGATGTCGAGCTGAGGGAGATTTTCTCATCACAATAAAGCGACTTTTCTAATGAATCTTGAGTGTGTTCGACAGAAGTTTGTGTATCATCTCCTTTAGCATCCTTGGACAGTATATCTTCGGTCTCAGTGGTCACGGCCGGTTGCGGTTCTGTTGAATTATCATCTTCATCCATAATGATTTCAATTTTTAGTGATGCTTCTTCGATATGTTCATTTTCGTAACCAGTGTTATTTGGTATTTCGGATGCATTTTCGTCTGATGTAGTTATTGCAGTGGCTGTGTGAGTATTTAATGTTTCTACACTAGTATCATCTTTGAGGATATTTTCTTCATTGTTATCTTCAGTTGGTTTCCCTGCCTTCCCCGCTTGTGTTGAGGGCGTCTTTAACTCATTTTCACACTCATTTTGTTTCTCCATATTCTTTTCGTCTTTATTAGGTTCTATATTTTTGCTTTCTTCATCTGAATCTAGTTTTTGTTGCGCCCCATCCATCAACCCGTGCTCCTCATCAGTATAGTCGATTAAATCGATTATAGTGTATTCTTTTCCGTTGATATCATCCATCGACGCCAATGTTTGCTTACGACGAGGGGGGCTGCTTTTTTGTTTGAGCATTTTACCTTCTGATGCAGTAGAGTGCCGACGCTCTGACAATATATATTTTGACATCAGAGCAGCTTGTTTAGGCTTGATCAAAGTCGCGCCAGCTGGATTTATGACCTCTTTAAACGCGCAACTAAGCGATTTAGAGCGTTTTGAACGTGGACTTGTGCTACACTCAATGATTTGTTGCGTAGGGCGTGATTTAAGGAGTGACTCTTGCTTTTCAACAAGCTTTGCCTGTACCAGAACAGGTTTAGTTAAATCGATTTCTACCTTAAAAGAACTGCTGCTACCCGATGGAGAAGCAAA